TATATATATATATATATATATATATATATATATATATATATATATATAATTATTTGAAATAAAAACTATAATAAGGTAGCAAATATTGAATGGTAAGAGAAATTAACTATTTTATATAGTCAATACAATTGGAATATTTGGCAAATATAGGTACATGTAACTATATTCCCAAAAGATGCTTTACCATATACAGGGTGTCTCAACTCTGCTTCGGGCATTTTGTGGGGACGTAGAACAGGTTGAGGTGAACACAAAAGTCCTATATCGTTTTGCGATATTCGCAATAATTATCGAGATATTAATTGTAGAAAACTTGTAAATGATCATGCAGAATATGGTAAATGAGTTATAGTAACGACGACTGCCATCGCTACTATACTTTAGGTCAAATTGAACAAAAAAGTCCTCTACCATTTTCCAAATAATCACATAGATTTTTAATTATTAATTAAAGAAGATTATTACACGATTTTGCGTGATCATCTTCTTTAATTAATAATTAAAAATCTATGTTTGAGGCCAAAACGAACTATAAAATATAGTGAGATTATAGTTATTTCAACTATTTTTTTCTCTCAGTGCATATTTCACTACTTTGACCCTTTATATCTTGGGAAATATTGACTTTTGGGACTTGGTGCAATGATAACTTTTTATCAGCCTGGCGAAAACTATAACATAGTGAAATTTCAGCCAATTTGACCGAAAACCATTTTCTATAGGTTTTGTGCGGGGTCCTTTCCATCACTTTGTGTGGGAACAAAAATTTATATAAATCAAGAAAAGATCGTATTCTTTAAATATTTCGAGTCGCGGCGCGGAAGCTTCATTACGAATTAATCAAAACGGATTTCTCCGTCGACGATTTATTTCCTTATAGCTTAATTCGCGCGCAGAAAAAAAAGGAACAAGAAGATCTCATATTTTTCAATCGCTTGTGACTCAGATTTATCGAGCGCCCCCCCCCCCACTTCCCTTATCTTTCCCACCAAGTTGGCGTGCGCATATATGTATATGTCTCTTGTATCTGAATTTTGAAAATGAAATTACACCTCGCACTGCGCGTACACAGACCGCGCGCGACCCACATACACCAACGCGCACCCACACGACAGCCGCGCGCAAAAGCACACGTGCACACACGTAAGATGCGCGTCGGTCCCGTGTGTGTATCGGTCACACACAAATTCGGGATGCGGGATAAAAAACACAGGAAATGCATTCGCCGGCCCGGCTAATGATGACGAATGGCGCGCGATATTATCACGGCGTCATGTGCCGTTGGCGAAAAACCATTCGTTCATATTAGGAGGTTGATTTGGATTTAATGGGCGCATCGTTTGCTCAGTTTAGCCGCGCTTTCGTCGCGCTTTTCGACCAACTTTTGCCAATTCATTAGCAATTACGTCGCGTGTACAATTTGTAAAGCGTTACATGTGCTTCCCGCGCGCCACACGCGAAATCCCTGAGAAAGCGCCCTTAATCTTAATAACGAATTTTCGCGTCGATTTTGTGTGTGCAGGAGAGACTGGGACTTAGATGCCCTACACTGTAAAAACTGATGTGTTAAATTTAACACATTTCGTGTGTCCCAAATCATCCACTCTCATTTATGTGTACATTTAACACAAAACAAATGTGTTAAAAAAGTAACACGCATAATATGGAAAAAATTAACACAAGAATTTAACACT